GGTGTAATCCATCCCTAGTCCTTTTATTTTTCATCATCAATTTGTTACCGTCTTCCCACTTAATCTTGGTTCTGTTTGACATAAGTAAATCATTCACTCCATGTTGTCATGCCTCAGTCAATGTTTTAGTCTGTATTACACACATGTCTATGTGTGTGTATTCCTTGATTATTATCCTCATCTTAACAATGTGATAACCAATCTCACCACTTCCTCATTCTTCATTTCTCTCTTTTCATACTTTATATTTCTTTCGACTGCATTCTCTTATCTTCATCTTTCACCTCACTACCTTCTTACTCAATGTACTGATATGAGGTGTGGCAACTCGGACGGTTATACAGTAATGCCTGGTCCTAGGTTGATCTGTATGGATAGATGGATGGATGGATGGATGGATGGATGGATGGATGGATGGATGGATGGATGGATGGATGGATGGATGGATGGATGGATTCCTTTATTGTACAAGAGTATATAAAATCATTTATGCACAGAGTAGAATGTTGATGAGTCCTAATGAAATTTATAAATTCCATACATCTTGCTTTAATTACGTTTGTTACTTGTTTTACATTTGTATCAGAAAACAAATGTTTTCAATTTCAACTACTTTCTGAATGTGCTTTTGAAGAAGTAATTTGCATGAAGTCACAAAACATCAGACATTTATTGTTCTACCTCCTATGTCATTAATAAAAATCAATAATCTGAACGAACAATACTTTTTTTTCCAGTAAATCTTCATTAGATTCTACGATTATGCAAGTATATAGTTGAACAAACGACGAGTTGGACGTCCGAGGGTGACATGGAGGAAATCATGTCAGGAAGAAGTGAGAGCTTGTGGGGAGTCGTGACGACAGGCTGAAAAGACTGCAGAGAAGAGAGTGCAATGGAAGCGCGCTACTGAAGCTCTATATTCAAGTAGGAATCCAAGGGGGAAAAAATCATAATAATAGTTGAACAGCGTAAAATGCTGTGAGATTTAAGGATTGATTATGTGAATAAGTAAAATGCTTTGATGTAAACTTCTGGGAAATTCAAAGAAGTACTTTCACATTTATCCCAGTATTATCCTTGATAAATTATAAATGGAAGTTTTATCCCCTCAATATAAATTTGCGATACATATAAAAAACTTGAAAAAACTAAATAAGCAGTAGATCTGGTTGCATCATCTAGTTAATTGCTGTTATCAGCATAAAAACAATAAACATTTCTCTAGGGATATTAATTTAAAACCATTGTGAAACTCTGAAAGGGCTCACAAAAAATCAGAATATCATCAAAAGTTCTGATAAATCAGCTGAAGTCGTAATCACAAATAAACTTGACGATTTAAAGAAAATTGACTTAGTATTGCAAGATGAAAGTAAATTTCAGGCACTAGAGTCAACGAAAGATCTAACCGAAAAGTAGAAAACGATCTCATACTCTCTGTAAAAAGAAATTGAAATACCATGGATTGACTTCATCAACCTCACGTGAAAATTTGCTACCTATGGAGAGCACAATTCCGTAAAGGTATGACTTACCAAAAATACACAAACGTAAGATCCCACTTCATCCTATCCTGGACATGATTGGCTCAGTTTACCAGGATAATCCCAATTGACAGTTTGATTAGTTAAAACTTTGTGTGGACATTTAGCAAAATATACCAGTAAAAATACTTTCAAAAGTTATGCATATTGAACAAATGCATGGGTTCCTATGACGTCACATCTCTCTTCACTAACGTCTTTCTGATGGAAACTGCGGATTGCATTTTGTGAACAATGATATGAAAAGGAAATTAACTTGTTCCACAGAAACGGTTAAATTGATATACGCAAAGCGAGAAGTTAAGATCAGTATTCGCAAAAATGAAAGCTTCTCCAATATCATCTTACACTTAGAAGTAATGCAAATAATGCTTGTTATACTGGGTAATGATTAAAGGTGAGATGAAAATCTTGACCGCCGCCGGATTCGGACCAGCGACCACCGGGTTACTGACCCGATGCTCTACTAACCACGCTACAAGGTCTGACTGCTACTTGCCCTGGTAACCTGGTGGTCGCTGGCTCGAATCCGGCTGCGGTCCAGATTCTCATCTCACCTTCAATCATCAACCAGTATAAATACTAGTCTGTCAAACTACGGCTATCTCAGATAATCAAATGATAATGCTTGTTATGATGTACTCTTCGAGATATCCGTCTTTACTTAGAACACCATGGACACAAGGTAACTCTTTCTTCACACACTACTTGGAACAAATCGACTTAACTTGAAATACTAAGCATTCCATTATGCAACTTTTGTCACTCACTGAGAAGACGCTGAGAAAGTGCATATTTCTGTGTTTGAGTCACTGATTTTCTATGTATACTTTGCTTTATGGATTCATATGAAGAAAATGCATTGAATCATTGATATCATTTTCATGAATAACATGAACTAATGGATCAACAGAAAATCTATAATTTACGCATTTATTCCAAATACGCAGTTTTCATACTTAAGTTTTTATATTACTACTATATTATTGCTTAACTAGCAAGTAGTACGAAATTTTTGCATGAAAATGTCCTGGAGAATATTGTTTAAGCATAGTCATCTCAATAGGTCTCTTGAAAATGACTGGTAAGAGATTTCCTAATGTCAACTCCTCATTTGACCATACAGAATCAACTTGGGTAGCAAATAAATTGGTCTCACCGCACGCAAGCATTTTTTTTATGATACACTCTTGAAAATTGATGGACGAAGCACGTTAAACCTGAGTTTAGAGTTAGTGAGAAGTGAATATCGAGACACATCTAAAGAGCGGAGGAACTGCATCACTCACATAGACCAACTGAACTTGGTGAGGACTGAGATATACTCAGTGTGTCAGCTGTCTTTGACTAATGGTCAACTATTTTCCCTGATCAACAACTGCTTACGCTTGCTACTGAAGATCAGACGGCCAGAAAGAATAAGCAACAAGGAGCTCTGGGAACGAACCAACCAAGAACCTATCACGCAACAAATATGCAGGAGGAAGTGGAGATGGATTGGGCATGCACTGAGAAGGCCGACTGGAGACATCAGGCGTCAGGCCAGTTGCTCGAGTGGAATCCCCATGGGAAGCGACGAGTTGGGTGTCCGAGGGTGACATGGAGGTGGTCGTGCGATGAGGAAATGAGAGCTTGTGGGCTGTCGTGGAACCAGGTTCAAAAGATCTCAGAGAAGAGAGTGTACTGGAGACGTGCTACTGAAGCCCTATGTTCCACTAGGAACCCAAGGGACTAATAATAATAATAATAATTTTCCCTGATCAAAATTTACAGAAACAATTGGCAGCATATGTAACCCAATAGTAATATCGGTAGCAGTAAACTTTAGTGACCGCCAATCACGTTCGAGTATGTACCGGAATAGAATATATGAAGGACATAAGGCTTTGCTATCCTGTTAAAGGTCTTGAGAACCTTCGAAGATGACTCCATATATTTTTAGCACCGTTTGTGTGCACTCCAGGTGTCGGATCAAAGAAGTGTTTTTTGCCAACAATAACTTGAATAGAGTAACACATTTCAGATAACGGTATATGCGAATTCCAAGCTTCTATGTATATCGTAGCACTCACTTCCACCCATTTTCTTATAACGGGTGAGATAGATTCTACTGATCTACCCTTTATCCACCAAAAATATCTCTTCTTTTTACTTCGATCATACATACAAGGGATCTGTGATTTATCAAAACAATGACTTACCGAGTCATCTTCAGTTATATTTACGTTTGAAGCGTCAAGTGTCGACTCCATTACAACATGGACAAAATGGACGCAGAGCAATGACCTTGATATGTACTATCTGCAACCTGATTGGTTGTCTTTAAAGCTTTTTGACAGTAAAGTTTAGTTCTACTGTAATATCTCTTACGGTCTCTTATTGAATAAAGCTAATCATACTTTCTACAATGTCATATATTTTTGCTTTGTACATGATTAAATGTATTTGTTGCTAAGTGCAAAAGAAGCATATCAGTTTCTTTCAAACTTTCAACATTTAAATTCATGTCATATGAATCAGATATTTTAAAATTCAGTATCATTTGCTGATATTTCCTCTTTCAGAAATCATCTCACCTATGTCAATAAACTAAAATAGGCTTTATTATCTGTCATTATCACAAGTTATTATTGTTAGATAATTATTGTTCAGCACTACACATTCATATCGAGATAAGCGACGGCTGGGTACTCGCAATACATATCGAAGCCATCTCAGTCGATGAAGGTTCACAATCTTATTGATATACTTGCCAACATTGCTCACATGTTGCTTCCAACAGATGGTGTACCTAACAGGGAGAACAATAAGTAATTTAAAACTTGGCGGTAATAATTGATACTAGCTGGTGTTCGATGGCAATAAATGCTTTGAAATCATTCAATTTCCAGTGCTCATTAGAGACTTGCCTCAATATCAGTTTCGTGAAGTTCTACTAATAGCCCAAGGCCTATTGGATTATCAAAGACATTTGGTGAAGGTACCCGAAACTTTTTAAAATGATGGAAGCTGAAATTAGGAAGCTTTGCAATGTAACAAAATGACTGGACTGTAATGTGCTCATCATGAGACGTCACTGTTCTAAACCCAACCTCTCTTAGATTTTTAACAGTTGAGTCTATATAGAAGGATGAGGGATGCTTTGTACTACTTCATATAGATTATTGGAACAGAAAATTCAATGACTGTGCACATATTTTATTATTTAAAGGATATTGTACTTTATTCTTTATCATTTCTGATTTGTGTTTAGTTTTTTTTTGTCCTGAATATCTAAGTGATATTGATTTTTCTTGTGGTTTTTTTGTAAGTTGACTCTTAACTCAATCTGGTGCACCTTTATGTTCATCAAATGAATGCACCTACACCTACTCACCCATCCACACACACATACACATAATTAAATGAATCGTGATTGGTTTCTAAAGACAGTATCACTGTGCACATAATTGAACTACACGACTACAAAAGATCAGAAGTCTTTTTATCCGAATTACTCTCTTATCTATTTGTGCCTTTAAACAACTAGACGACTGTGTATACACGCATACCGGCACACGTACATACATACATACATACATACATACACACACGAATGGAGTACTATTTGTTTATTTGAGCATGACCTCAACCAACTGATTAGGTATTCACAATTTTAACCAACCCTCAAAAATACCTGAAAAATATGCAAATTTTTTTTTTTTTTGCGTAAAATTTAAGTGTATAAATATAAATCATCATCATTGTATTAGACACTATTAATAGACAACTTTAGTATAACGAATTTAATCTAACAAGTTATCAACAATGTTGGAAGAATTCATTAAGGCTTATCTTCAAATCTGTTCTGAAGGTGATAATATAGCTGATCGACAAGAATTGACTGATTATTGTAGAAAGAAAAATCTTGATATGAAACTTGTTGAGGTAAAAAACTATTCAAGTTGATATTATTCATAATAATATAATTAATTATTTGAGTTTATCCCTATTATTATTATTATTATTATTATTATTAGTCCCTTGGGTTCCTAATGGAACATAGGGCTTCAGTACCACGTCTCCAGTACACTCTGTTCTTTGAGATCTTTTCAACCTGGTTCCACGACAGCCCACAAGCTCTCATTTCTTCCTCGCACGACCTCCTCCATCTCACCCTCACCTCGGACACCCAACTCGTCGCTTCCCATGGGGATTCCACTCGAGCAACTAGCCTGACGCGTGATGTCCCCAGTCGGCCTTCTCAGTGCATGCCCAATCCATCTCCACTTCCTTCTGCTTATTTGTTTAGTGATAGGTTCTTGGTTGGTTCGTTCCCAGAGTTCCTTGTTGCTTATTCTTTCTGGCAATCCATCTGATCTTCAGTATCGAGCCAGCGTAAGCAGTTGTTGATGAATGTCTGTAGTTTATTGGAAATCCCTTTCGTGACGCGCCAAGTCTCTGAGCCATACAAGAGCACTGACTTGACGTTGGTGTTGAAAATCTTGATCTTGTTCTTTGTGCTGAGTGCAGAAGATCTCCACACTGGTTTCAGGTTAATGAACGCCTGTCTTGCTTTTCCGATCCTGGCTGACTTTGACATCCTCGTCTGTGCCTGTGCTGCCTGTAGTTGAAACAGCACTTCCTAGATAAGTGAAAGAGGTTACTTCCTTTAAGTTTCTCCCGTTCATGGTGATTGAAGCTTGTTGTTGCTATTGGTGGTGGTGTTGTTTGGGTATCTTCATCACCTCTGTCTTCTCTATATTCACTTGAAGTCCCGTCTTCGCTGCCTCTTCTGTCAACTTGTTAGTTTTTGCCTGTAGAATATTCAAATTTATGTGACATCAGGCACAAGTCATCATCGGCGAAATCCAAGTCTTCTAATTTCTTTTCCGCAGTCCAGCGTATCCGAGTTTATCTCTATAGAATTTATTATTCCATGATTTCAGTCCTAGAATAGATTGATCAACTTCCAGTTTATTCAACATAAACTTATCTAATCTTTACATAAGGATTATCAATTTGATCATTTGTAAGTTATTACAATAGATAACTACCATATTGAAGTGAGATGAATATCAAAAGTGGATATAAGTTAAGATAATAAAAATTTCATGCTCCACATTAACATTTATCATAGCTCAGAAGTTTTTCAACTGCTCAACTATAGTATAAGTGTTAAAAAGGTTTCCCTTGACAACTATCCAACAACTGACGAAATATACTACTATTAAACAACTTCAGTAGTATATTTCAGAGTGTTTCAGATGAAATTTTTATTGGATTGATAATATAAATAAAACATTATAAAATTATTAAGGATATTCTTAAAAAATATGTTTGTTATTGTCATCATATCTTTTTGTATATTTAACATATACTTCATAATCATGGAATATCAGATGAACAAGAACAGAAAACAAACTTTATTTAGTTATGATCAAGGTTTCAATATTGTAAAATATTAGTAATTTGAGAAAGATTCTCAACCCATAACCCGGCTAACAATAAAAATTAGGACCTTCAGGTGAATCAAGAAAAGTTAAAAAGTATAAACCACTGAACTCCAACCCACTGGCTGGATGGTTAACACATTCACCGTGAAACCTGAAAGTCTTGAGTTCAATCCTCAGCCAAGTTGTGCATGCGTACTCCTGAGAAGTCTCATACTAAGACGGAACAGCTATCCAGTGCTTTCAGGTTTTCAATGGTTCCTCGTGATGAATATTATTTCTAAATAAACTAATCTTAAACTTCTCATCTTGTAAATATTAATATGCTTTTATTATTTCTTGATGCTTGTAATTTCCAGTTATCATTCTTGATCGAATTAATTGACGTCTGTTGGAATATACGCTTCTATGCGAATGTCTAGATATTGGCTAATTATTCATTATCTTGTATTTTCCTGGATGGTTACCAGTAGTCGAATTGACAGTACACACTTAGTTCAAGTCTCAATGACAACAACACCACACACTAGAAGGCAGATATATTCAGCTGATGCGTTCTAAATGGGACGAAAAGTTCGTCCTGGATTCCACTACTAACCGTAGCTAAACAAATTACAAGATTAATTATATTCTATCGATAAAAACTTTGTTTTGCAATGCATACATAGCGTTACCTTGTTATTTTAAATAATCAAATGAATATTTCAATATTCAACGTTTTATGTGACAGCCTTCTTGATTAGTTTTACTTACTTTAAAGTAATAAAAAGTATTAACAGTTTAACTTTGTACCAAGATAGAAGAAGTTCACTATAGGCATAATGCAAAAGTATACGTGAAAGCGATTAAAAACATTAAGAAATGCTGAAATCATCCATTGTAATGACAAATACAATGTATACATGACAGATTTTATATAATATTGAGATAAATTAAGTTGTATACTCCGGAAATTCCACTTTAACTAATCACCATAACTTCAGTGTATAAGTAGGTAATTTAAACTGGATACATTAAACTGTTTCCCAGTTATTTTATTTTCTCACATTAGCTTCATATTATGTATTGTTTATTATTGGTTTCACTTATAAGTTTGAAACATATACAGTCTGTTAACGAACTTCCCGTAAATCCTGAATAAACTATCACATTATGCATATCACTACAACATTCTGGTTGTAACTGAAGCTATCCTTAACTGATGGATAGTGGTCAGCGGTGGAATCCAGGATGCACATTTCGTCCTATTTTGAAATCATCAGTTGGATGCACCTACTTCCCAGTGAGTGGTGTTGTTCCTGCCGGGATTCAAAGCCTGGACCTATAGCCTCAAATGCCAGAGATTTATCCACTAGACCACTGAGATACGATTGACACTTCTTGTGCAACGAGTATCGTTTTAATGCTATTGCTTTTATTATAACGTCATTCACTGGACTGAATTCATCGGTTCAATCAACGAAGGCATAATACAACCAATAACACTATCCTCAAGTAAGCCAGTAAATGTATCTATGCTGTTTTAAAATCATTCCAAAGAATAATTTTAACTTCCCTCTGAAATTTTATATACTATCACTGAGAACAGAGGAAGTTTTCAATGACAAACCTTTAAAGGGATAAGATATTTGTGGATGATGCAACAGTCTATGGAAGGGCAGTATAATACTTCGGTGAAATAACTTTCTAAACTTTCACTAGATAAATACGGTTGCATAAACAACCCTTTCAGTCATTGCATATACGGCTATGTCTTGTTAATTTAAGCTCCAGCGTTTTATTCAATGTGTTAGGAAGTAAAGCCTGATATAGAAACATATAATTCATATTCTCTGCAGTATATACAATTGTGTATGCATGTCGCTAATACTCACCATTGACCAATTGTTAATTTATAGCGGTAAAAGACCAGTATTCGTGACTGACAACCTGTTTTTATACAGTTTTTCTTTTCCCGCTTTTTTCTGTTTACATCAGCAATGGATTAACAAATTCGATGTTGACAAGGATGATCAAATTTCAATGGAAGAATTTTGTCGTGCATTAGGCTTAAATCAAAAAGAAATGTAGGTACAAGATATATGTATAGTATATTTTTCACGTTGTTGACATTACTTATCTTACAGTGGAAACGTGAGTTCCTTCTTGTATAAGATAAGCTCAACTCCACTTAATGTTTCTACCCATATATGCGTATTGAAAATGAGGTTGGAATATTTTGGTGACCCAGTAAAATCATGTAGACATCAGACATTCTTATTGAAATCGACAAGCATTCATTTGTCAGCTATCTATTAAGCCTTAATTTTGAAGCTGTAAGTTTACAATGACTGGCATTGAAAATATGCTTATCATATAGCCTTTGAAAAGTGGAAAGCCATAATTTCTTGTTGAATAAGTACCCGTAAGCATAATCACTAGGGGGAAAAAATGATAGATTCAAAACTGAAGATGTTTTGCACTCATTGCCAAGGAATCAGTCATGCTGAAACCGTTTTATGGAACATTGAGACATTCATTTCAAAATATCTTGTAACTAACGAATTAAAGTTGAAAGTATCACCCATTTAATCAATGTCTAAATTGCTGTTGCCTCTGCTGCTATATCACAAAGTTCAATTTGTTTGTGAGCTATCTAACAGTGTCTATTGGTTACACAATCACCAGTAGTTCTACAACATGCAGAAATGTCTAACCATCCACCAGTCTACTGTATATTATTCTCGAATTTATTAGGTAGTCTGACAACATTAGATTACATAGAAATATAGAAATGTATCCTGAATAAAAGACATAGAGAGAGATATACATCTGTATAAAGCACTTTGCCAACTTTGATACCAATTATCACTAAGTAATTCAGTATTCCACTACTTTTTAAATGCTTGTTTTGAACCATAACATTACACATAAATCTCTCCAGGATTCCTGATCACAGCGTATTTATTCATTTTTATACAGTTGTAATATTAACTGTCTCTATGAACATTCTAAACTGATTGACTGGTTGCTAATGAGCTGGTTTATAATCTATAGACAAACTGTAGTCTACCATGAGGTAGAGACAGTTAGTTGGACGGTGAAATGATGCAATTCCTTGATATGTTTTGATAAACTTTGATGATCAGTACATCACATAAGTACTCATGATATAGCTAAATCTTATTCTGTAAATGCTTATTTTTTTTTTTAAGGTTAGTTGAAAAAGTTCACCGTACCCCTGCGAATGCTGCCAAGATACCAGAAATTTCTTCACAATTTGAAATTATTCTCTCAAAATTATCAAAACAAGCTGAAGTTGATATTACTGAACGTGTAGCAGAATTATTTAATGGTTCCACTGAGAACAAAGATTCACAGATTAAAGATATATCAAATAAATTGAAACAATATTTAGATGAGACATATGATCGTGTCTGGCAGGTAGTTATACTACGCGGTTCATATTGGATGAATTTTTCACATGAACCATTCAAGTCAATACAATTCAAATATGGTCCATACATCTTTTTATTATGGCGTACACCAAAAGGTTAGAGTTAAGTAATCATAGCACCAAAAAATATATCCTATAATATATAAAAATAACAACATCAAACTAACTTAATGTATACTGAAAGTATAATAACAATCATATATTTAGTAAAAATCATTCAATTTGTTAATTTATGTTTCCTGCAGTTTGTTGAAGGTTTTCATTACTTCTTTTTATTAAAATATTTATATTTCTAGAAGAAAGTTTTCTCTTTTCCACTACGGGGATCTATATGGAACATCACTAATCAATGAGATTTTTATTCACATATACAATCGTATCTAATTTTATACACTCATGGAAGTGGTCATATAAAAAGTCAATTACTTTGTTAGATCAATAGTGAAATCACGGGAAAAGAAAATAGAACTAGTTGTTCATTTGTGGGCTAAATATTGAAGCTCATATAGTATATAAAGTCTATAATATCATCCTATCACTCAGACTTCAGTAGGTCAAGTGAAGTTTGAATGTATGACCTACTACTTGTAAGTCGACTATTGAGCCGAACAAATCACAATTACGCTTTATAAAATCGTGAAAACAGTAATTAAAAAATTTATTTTAATCACGAATTCACATAGTAGTCTGACAAAACCCACATTGGTGATTGATGAAATAAGAATCTGTTCAGCAGTTGAACCTGTTAGCTAAGTTAGTTAGGCAGTTGGCCGGAAACCCGATGGTGGCTGATTCGAATGGGATCACTATCCAAATTTTCATTTCAAATAGTCAAAATGTTAACCAATTTAATCTTTACCAGTTACAAATAGTAATGAAATTTTACCTATGAAATGCATAATATGGTCACTAAGTTAACTAATGTAACATTAAGGTAGACTGTTTTTGATATTCGATGTCAAATAAGCCACTGCATAGGCTAAAAAGTGATACTTTTGGCTGTGATTTAGATTGAAAAAGTTTTATAAAAACCTTTCTTTGCTCGAGAACTAGTTGTTCATTTCTACAAGTTGATTAGATCCAGTTGGTTGGCTGCTTATGAATTTTTGGTAGCGGAAAGTCCTGTCACCAGTAAGTAAGATTACTGTACACTTTGATTGAAGCATGCCCTTTATAAGCTAAAAACACTGACGACTAACTATAAGTATCATCATGATTAGTGAAGTTCAAGCTATTCTAATGTGATATGTTCTAAACTCAAACGTTCGCTGTCCACTTGACTACAATGTTATTGCTAAAACAAACTCAAATTCTTTAACATACAAACTAAACATACTGAAGTTTAGAATTAAGGCTGCAAAAATGGCAGTCTCTACAGCTACCGCCTTCAGTAAATCACAGTCAAAATTATCTGTGAATTTTTGTCATTGCTCACCACTAAGAACTAAGCAACTAAGTTGGCTGTTCACCGGTCGTCGTTTTATGCATTCAGTATAACTCCACACGGTTACGTTTGAGCACAAACAGCCTAATGGTGAAGTCTCCGAATTTAATAATGATTGACTTCGATTTAAATCCCCAGAAAAGTATTGGTTTGTTCTTGGTTTCACATATAGTTGACTCATGAATGCCACATAGTACGATACATATATCAAAGATCTCTCGATTGAGGTTTTTATCCAGTTGATTTTCGCATTGTACCATCGATTAAACGGTAGAAAAAACTAAAATGTTAAGACAAAGATTTTTTAAGCGTTAGTGTTTTTTGGGAAACACGACCATGCGATTTTATCCTTTTCAGAGTTTATTTTCGCCACTAACTGAGGATTGATAGTTTAGGCTCTCTTTTGAAAGTGATATATACATATATAAACATACATACAAATGCCAGGAAACTAGAAACTCAAGTGTATAGAAAGCCAATACACACCGATCAAATCCTCAAATACACTAACAAGAACCCACAAAATTAATTACGTGCAGACACTGCACTACAACACCTCCACGGAGAAACAAAGAGAACTACTTGATGTCCATCCAAAAGAAGAACGGTTACACACGAAACTTCATCAGGAGATGTCTATCCTGTGCATCATCAACTACAAAATCATAAACAGAAATCAACAATCCATCATCCCATCATACATAAAGAATATATCAGTGATCACGACAAGATTGCTGAGAACACCTGGAATCGGTGTGTCTCATAAACCAACTAATCACCTCCAATACCATATTATGCAGATTAAGAACACACTAACCAAAGAAGATAAACCCAATATCATCTACAAAATCAACTGCAGTAATTGTGATCAACACTACATTGGAGAAAGTGGTCACCCTCTTCGCCTCCGTCTACATGAACACCAGTTGGCTGCTAAACATCACGACACTTCATCATTCACTTCAATGCATGTGGATAACAACTACGAACATCAGTTCAATTTTGACAATGTAGAAATCTTGAATGGAGAGAGGAAATACGAAGAATATCAGAGAATTGCTAGAAGCTTGACATTCAGGTCAGTCAATCAGTAATCAGCAGATGTATAGAATTAGACCCAATCTATCAACCAATAAGAAAAAATGATAAATGACAGAAGGATTAGAGATCAAGTAGAGGAACAGCCAACAGGACAATCTATGCAGTCAGTGACGAAACAATTAAAGGGAATAACCACTCACAAATCAATTGGTCAGGGCAAGCTACTGAGTCACTACTCATGGAGAGAGATATTGGCAGCCTACTTCATACTGAAGTTATTGGTGATGATGTCGTCCAGAAAGGAGATGAAAGCTCCACGACTGAACAACCCTGTCAGAGAATATAACATATATATATCTATAATCTCATGCATACACAACTCGAATCAGCCATGAATGCGTTTAATTAGCCGTAACTAAACCAACGCTTTACTTTCTCATTTCAATATCTAACGTTTTAGACTGATTAAGTTTCAAAATCTTCAGTGCTACATAACATTATTTCTGCTTTTAAGGTGTGTTACTTACCTATCCTGTTATTGCATTCTGATTATTCAATTATCAGTCTATTTCCAAGGAGTTTTGAGTTCTTAAAATGTAGATTCTGCAACTTCCTCAGTAGTCGAAATTAGACCCATCCCCTGTATCCAACTATTATTGTTAAATACTGAGAACAGTTAAGTCACATAAGACAAAATAACTTTGTCCCAGTAAATATTGTCAGTTATATAACATGAATTAATTTGTAGTGGTGGAATAAGAAATGTCCTATTAAGAATCCCTTCATAATAATCTTGGAGACACCGTCTATTATCATTCTGACTGTCTGAGATAGCCGTAGTTCGGTAGATCAATCTTAATACTGGTGATAATTGAAGGTGAAATGAAAACCTGGACAGCGGTCTGATTCAGACCAGCAACCATTGGATTTCTGGCCCAATATTCTACCAACTGAGCTATGAGGTCCGACTACTGACCAGATTTATATTTTAATTCAATCACCAAGACAGGTTTTACCCGACTACTATGTGAAGTCGTGACACCTTACTACTACTTGATCTCACCCAAATCAACTACTCAATCTGGCAAAATCCTTGCTGACTGAATTCAAATAAAAGTGTGGTCAGCATTCTGACTTCATGGCTCGGTTAGAATAGCACCGAGCTAGAAACACGGTACCCCTGGTTCCAATCCCACCACGGATCAAATTCCCATTTCACCTCCAATCATAAACCAGTATCAATACCATCTAAATTGACATTTATTTATTCTTGTGAATCCCGAATGTGTTTTGGAGGACATATGTTGAGTAGTAACATTTCTGTTATGTGTTTAATGTTGTATTCATCAGCAGTGCACGTTGGTGACATGCTTCCAGATTGATATCTCGCGGTTCTAATAAGAAGCCGTGAGTGAACTGTGGGTTCAACCAGTTGGTGGTCAAATGGATGTCAACTGAAAACGTTGGTGGATAGTCTCTGTGTATCATGAATTAACAGAAGCAGGGAACTGTGAAAACTGGATGTCTTGTATTCGATCCGTGTAGAAGTTACAAGGTGATACTACTGAGGAGTTCCATACCAGGACAAAATGATTGTCAACAGTTCTCCAACTGATGCTAGTCTGTGATGACCACCACCTAGAACCAAAGCAAATCCTCGAAAACCTCAAATCACACTTCTCTCATGTGTCTCAGTTTCATAACAGTTTCACTGTTTTATGATATTTGCTAAATGCATAGCGTTTGTCGATGGCCTCAAAATAACCTACATCACTGTTTTCACACCATCACTAGTTTCTCTTCCCTCTGCTCTAAAGGCTCAACTCTGATTGACTCATAACTATTTTCATCGACATGTGTATTTAGTGATGTCGAGGTTGTTTGGAAATGTATATAATCAGCTTCGTTGTCAACTGTTTTGACTATTGTTTTGACTGTAAAATGCTCTCTGTCAACAGTCCAACTTCTCTTCTTGTCTTCGTGTGTCGTGGTACTGTTGTTTTGTTGGCTGGCTTTCCGGTTAGCGTTAGAGTCGACTCGTTTTGCATTAAGTTCGTGTCGTCTGTAGACTGTTAAGTAGCACTATCTGTCATAGCAATATTAACATTACTTAGATGCTTGACTAAAACTGCATTCACCGAACTGAGATAGCCTAGCTTATAACTGAATTCGAATTTAGTGTTTTTCTGCATCTGTAAGTACTTAAACCACACGAAATTGTTAAAATCACGTTATCAGTTGAATGTGATAGCTTAACATGTAAGGAACTACCCCGGAATTCGATTATGCCTAAGATTTGATTCCTCTGTGAATCATCGTCTCCATAGACATTTTTCTTTACTAATTTCTGCAACTGTCAACCAGTAGAAAAAAAGACATAAGGGTTAGAGATCAAGCAGAGGAACAACCAACAGGAAAATCTATGCAATCAGGGACGAAACAATTGTAGGAAACAACCACTCACAAACCAGTTAGTCACGGCAATCTCCTGAATCACTACTACAGCTCACTTCATGCCGAAATTATTGATGATGTCGTCCAGAAAGGGGATAAAAGCTGCACGACTAAACAACCCAGCCCAGAAAACACTATACAGTAAACCAGTTATCTTTTAGTAGAGGAATTAATGCTGCATTTATTTCATGACAAAGAAAGTTTTCTTGGATATATTCGACAAACAAGTTATCGTGTGCAAAATGATAACCCAGATTCACTAAAGAGACCTTATCCCCCTAAAGTCTTTCACAACCAATCATTTCACTTCAAGAGTTTAAGAGAAAGCAATTGATCACATGTGTATAGGTCAGACTG